AAGGGAGAGCCAGTGCATCACATGGTGAGAACAGGAGCACAAGAGAGATTGAGGGAGATGCCACACTCTTTTAAACAACCAGATCTCACATGAACTCAGGGTGAGAACTCACTTATTACTGTGAGGAGGGCACCAAGCCATTGAAGAGGGATCTGCCCCCATGACCCAAACACCTCCCACTAGGCCCTACCTCCAACACTGGGGCTCACACTTCAACATGAGGTTTGGGCCAGGTGCGGTGGCTCACACCTGTAATCCCAGAACTTTGGGAGGCCAAGACGGGTGGATCACTTGAGGTTAGGAGTTTGAGACCAGCCTGGCCAACACAGTGAAATGCCATAGCTACTAAAAATACAAAAATTACCCAGGTGTTGTGGCAGGTGCCTGTAATTCCAGCTACTCCGGAGGCTGAGACAGGAGAATCACTTGAACCTGGGAGGCAGAGTTTGCAGTGACGAGATTATGCCACTACACTCCAGCCTGGGCGAGAGAGCAAGACTCTGTCTCAAACAAACAAACAGAAACACATGTGATTTGGAGAGGACATACACCCAAACCATATCAGTAATGGATATGTGAATTAACTTGATTGGGGTAATCATTTCACAGCATATATGTATATCAAAACATTACATTGTACGCCTTAAATAAATTCAATATTTACTTGTCAGTCATACCTCAATAAAGCTGGAAGGCAAAGTCTACATATCCAGATAGAAAAAGCTAGAAAGCTATACCAAAATATTAACCATGGTAATGTCTGATACCTCTGAGTTGTGAGGACTGGGGAGGATGGTTGAGACAAGAGGAGAAGGTAGTACTGGTCATTTCAGAGAGAATGAGAAGAATAAATGTAATAGGATTGGCAAGCAGAGCAAAGGGTCCCCTTGACATTCAAACTTATGGAATTCTCAGTGGTTCCCTCTAGATTTAAAATGATCATGGAAACAAGCCCTAAAGGAGAGTCTGATCTGGAATGTTTGGGTAAAGTTTTCCTGACCTAAAAACAAGACAAAGGGAAACATCTGATTTTAGGTATTAAGGAATCAAATGCCAAAGAATACGCAGGAAATAACCTAATTTACTTCCTCTAATAGGTAGACAACTCTATGAAGTTCAATGCCAAGCCAACTGGCCACTGAGTGTGTCAGCAACTGCACTAGTAGATTTTTAGAGCATGTTCGTTAAATTTGTTTTAGACCACAACCTTCACTAAGAAAACACTTTACACTGTGACACACAACCAGTGGTGTGCTAGAGCCAGCTTATGTGGGCTCGTGAAAGCAGATTGTTATGTTTGTATAAATTGTGAGCCACTGTTAAATACGTCGTTAATGGCCAGGGCGTGCCAGCCTGTAGCCCAGCCACACAACCAGAGGCGGGTAGACATGAGTCAGGAAGACAAGACCATGCCGCTAACATGTGACCCCGTCTCCATACTAAAAAACAAAAAAAAAATAACCAGAAGGGCGCAAGGCCAAATCCACAGCCTACTCAGGAGCCTGGGCAGAGAAGTACCACGCGAGGCGGAGCTTCAGTGAGCCGAGATTGCACCCTACACAACACACAGCACATAGCAAGACCTGCCAAAAAAAAAAAAGGAAAATACAGTCATATGAAATGGAATAGGCATGGGCTTCAACGCTTTATCACCAGCACTTATGGAGGCGGAGTGGGAGAATGCTTGAAGCCCAGGAGTGAGACCAGCCTGGACAAACATAGGAAGACCCACAAGCCTAAATATAATAAAAATGTAAAAATAAAAAAGATAAAATTAAACAATTTAAAACAAAATAATATCAAACACAACACATAATATTGTAGACAATTTCCGTCATCTCTATTCTTGCAGTTACCTCCTCCTCCTATCGGTGGAGAAAGCCAAACACGGGCACAGTGGCTCACACGTGAAACCAAGCCACTGGGAGGCTGAGCGGATAGATTACCACGAGGATACGAGTCAAGACAACCTGCCAAGCGTGGAACCCGTTCCACTAAAAATACAAAAAAATTCAGGCAAACGGTGGCCACCCCTGTAATCCACTACCGGAGGCCTGAGCAAGGAGAAATCATTTAACCTGGAGGCGGACGGTTGCATACCAGATTGCACCACGTACTCCACCTCGTGGATAGAGGACGACCCAGTCTCCAAAAAAAAACCAAGAAAAGAAAATTGACAACACTATAAATCAGGGACAAACATGATACCGTTTTGTTGATCCTCCTATTCATGAAAGTGAAGAAAAAAGCAGATAAGTGTCTATAACGATTCAAGGTAAAACACAAAAAACTGAGCAAATACTCTTCCAATATTTGAAAACTATTATCCAGTTCTCCATGTCATTGATAAATTAGTGAAGTTCCGAAATGTCTTCATTGTTTCACTTTCATCTTATTTGTTAATGTAAATTAAAATAGCAATTAACACTTATGCCAGAATACACTCATTCATCAATAATGTGAGGGACTTATTTGCTGAATCTGATAGATATCAATCATTTATTCATAGTCTGATTTTCTCAAATTAGAGTTGAATTGCAACCACAGATTGGCTATGAATGCAAAAGTTTGGCAAAAATCAATGAAAGCATTTCTTGAGAATCAATTGGCTATATGAAATGCACAATGAGTGCCATGTATTTATTATTGTTTATAAATTTTAGCTATACATGCTTTATATCAGTAAAATATATAATAAATGTATACACATATTTACATATATACATACCTCTTCTCTCAGGGAGCCAGTTGTTAAACATTTTTCAGCACATCACTATCAAAACACACATAGGCATAAACAAATTACATTTAAAAATTCACAAAATATTACTTTATTAGTATACTAATTTATTACTGTATTACTATATATGATGCCCTCTGATATCTTATATTCTATCTCATTAAAAATACACATCCATGTTGCAATGCTCTAAATGATGTCATGACTAAAAGTTTATGAGCCACAGTTTAGAAAACCCTGATTTAGAGGTTTTTAACTGCAGGTTCTGAAATTATTTTTTGAAGAGATGCTCGGAGGGACGGTGATCAAGTGTCCTTTTTATATTCAGAGCTAAACAACAATAGGAACTCAAGAAATATGAAGCAGACAAATTTTTTAAAACACACATGATGGCAGAATTGGAAATCCGAAAGCTAGACTTTACCATCCCTAGCATAAAGACAAATTATGCAGCCGTGTTATGGTTCTAATAGTGTATGCCTGTATTTCAACTTTTCCTATAAAGGCCTTTCCTATAATTAAAAGTCTGTCATCCTTAATGATTCTTATATCTTGATTACTTACATCTATGGAGGTGAACATTATTGTGGATAGTTTTTCAAATGCCATTATCTGCCCAAGCAGGTCAAGGACATTACTGACATACACACCATGCCTGTATTTGGTAAAAGAGAATTCAACATTTATAGAAAATGACAGGTGGTTCCAAAAATAACTAAATGTGTTAGATATCCACAGATCATGAAGGGGATAAAGTGAATTAACCTTTTGCAGTTCACCTACATCAAGTAGATATTCTGTTACTAAATTCATGTGCAGTGCCTGCTAAAGAGGGCTCACCATTTTTTGAGTTTTAGACAAGTCCTTGGGAGAAAAATCATCCCAGCTTCTCTGGCTGATATATGTCCTTTTGACAATGTTTGCAAGAAGGCCTTTTTATGACTCCTGTCGCTGTAGCAACAGATACAAAGCATAGACAAATGGGTTTAAACACAGGGTACTCACCTCTCAGGCTGCCCAAGGTCACCAGGGCAATGACAACTGAGTAGTGAAGACTCGCACTGAAGGCTGAGAAGGAGCAGTTCTTCTGAATTTTCCCCAAATCTGCCTAGAAATCTTGATAGTGAACCTTTCTGAGGGGAGGAATCATTTAAGAATCTAACGAAAAATGTGGGTTCTCCAGAAAAATTCCTTCCTCAGTAAACTGCTTACATTTGCAGGAGATCCACAGCTCCTCCTAAAGTCCATCCCCCCATCCCCAGGTGAAAACCCCTGCTTTTGGATGAGGATTGTCCTCTCAGAGAATCTGCCAAGAAGGATAGCCAGGAAGATAGACCCTTCTGATAGTTTCAAAGGCCTCTAATCAAAGAAAATAAACTTATGAGCATGGTGTGGTCCAGAATCAGCTCTATCAATTTCACCTGTGCACACACATTACAATTCACTGTCAAGAGCATCATTATTTTAAAAGTTGAGGACAACTGTGCACTCTTGGCTGTCTACAATTATTGGAAATTGGTAGAATATAAATACAGTAGTAATAGTAATGGTTACTATAAATACAGTAGTAATAATAATGGCTTTCTAGCTTTCTAGGGGTTCATTCATAGGCAAAGTTCACCTAAGACTTCCACAAGAAAATAAACTGAGGGAAAGTTTGCTATGAAAACTCCAGGGGTGGCTGGGCACGATGGCTCATGCCTGTAACCCCAGCACTTTGGGAGGCCGAGATGGGTGGATCACTTGAGCCCAGGAGTTTGAGACCATCCTGGACCACATGGTGAGACTTCATCTCTACAAAAAACATAAAAATTAGCCAGGCACGTTGGTGCACACTCGTAATTCCAGCTACTTGGGAGTCATTTAAAGCTGGGAAGCAGAGAGCGGAGTGAGCCAAAATCGTGCCACTGCATTCCAGCCTGGGTGACAGAGCGAGACATTGTCAAAAAAAACCAAAAAAACAAAAAAACAAAAAAAAACAGAGAGAGAGGAGGAAAAAAAGAGAAAGAGAAAGAATGGAAGGAAGGAAGGAAGGAAGGAAGGAAGGAAGGAAGGAAGGAAACCCAGAAGCGTAGAAGAGACTATAGGATTCTACCAGGGATAGACATGAAGCAATGGAAAAGTTTTTGGACACCCCTTAATCCATCAATGCCCCTTGTCTTTGATATGGACAGTTGACATTGTCTACATTTTACATAAAGTGCTAGGCAACTGCAAGACAAATCCTCAGTGTTTCATCTCTCATTCTCTTCCCATATAGAAATATTGGGAGCTGGCACTGTCATGAATTCAAAGCTGAACCCTCAACTCTCCACAATTGACCTAAGACTTATGATCGTCCGTTCTCTACTATCCCTGCCCTCAAAAGAAGATCTACAATATGAGGTAAACTAAAGGCCAACTTTCCATCTTCAGGCTAACAAAGTCACTTCAGGATGCAAGAATTCACATAGAGCAAAACATTTTTACAGTAGAAATCTTTGAGACCTGTTTGGCTGCCTTTATAAAACTAAGAATCTAAGTTTAACAAGGCTTTCAGTAAGAGACCACAGATAAGCTTAATAAACAGTTCACCTCAATTAGGAGGAAAAGCACAGAATAACTTAAGAACAATAACACCCAATAGAAGAGCTATTATCTGGCTGGGCGCGGTGGCTCACGCCTGTAATCCCAGCACTTTGGGAGACTGAGGTGGGTGGATCACCTGAGGCTGGGAGTTCAAGACCAGCCTGGCCAACATGGTGAAACCCCATCTCTACTAAAAATACAAAAATTAGCAGGGTGTGGTGGTGTACGTCTGTAATCCCAGCTACTCAGGAGGCTGAGGCACGAGAATCACTTGAACCTGGAAAGTGAGTTTGCAGTGAGCTGAGATCGCGCCACTGCACTCTCTCTGTCTCTGAGTGACAGAGAGAGACTCTGTCTCAAAAAAAAAAAAAAGAAAAGAAAAGAAAAGCTACCATCACTGTTCTTTGGTTCTGGCCTACTGATGCATGGTGACTTCCATTGTCTCTGGTTTGTTTGCATGTTATAACATAAAATAACCATTTGGCACTAAGTGAGCTTACCACTTTGAAAACCAAGACATTTTAGACTTCCAAATATGTTGCCCTATTGGTTGTAAATCACCAAGTACAATGAGTGATGGCCATCTCCCCTGTCACTTATTACTTGAAGTGTCATGTTTTGGTTCCAGTCCATGGATCCCAAGAAGGGTTGGAACCCTGTGGTAAACGGATATGTCTGGGAAACACTTAAGCATAAATGCTAGTTGAAAAATATATGCCTTGGCCGGGCGCGGTGGCTCAAGCCTGTAATCCCAGCACTTTGGGAGGCCGAGACGGGTGGATCACGAGGTCAGGAGATCGAGACCATCCTGGCTAACACGGTGAAACCCCGTCTCTACTAAAAATACAAAAAACTAGCCGGGCGAGGTGGCGGGCGCCTATAGTCCCAGCTACTCAGGAGGCTGAGGCAGGAGAATGGCGTGAACCCGGGAGGCGGAGCTTGCAGTGAGCCGAGATCCGGCCACTGCACTCCAGCCTGGGTGACAGAGCGAGACTCCGTCTCAAAAAAAAAAAAAAAAAAAGAAAAATATATGCCTTTTGTCACGAATTCCTGTTTCTGAAGCTCTGGAATAATATGTAACACAATTGAAATTTCTATGCTATAAATACATTGGCTGTTTACATTTCCAAATGAATTTACCAATGAAAATGAACAAACAGCTTTACGAAAAGTTTTGAAGATTTTTCTCATACCTTCTGTCTTTGTGTTTCCCTAGGAATATTAAAGGTCAGTGAATACAATGAAGTATAAACAATGCAATGCTATCTGAAATCTGCTTTAAAACATCGAAGGAAAGAAAAGTATGCATAGTGGATAAATGAAACGATTGACGAATTGTAGATAATTGTGAGAGGTGGATGACAGCCACATGGGAGCTCATCATGCTTTTGTATTTGTGTGAAATTAAATGTGTTTACAAAATTTTCTACAAGTCAAAGCCATAAAGAATTGCAGGCCAGATGTAGTGGCTCATGCCTATAATTCCAGCACTTTGGGAGGCTAAAGTGGAAGGATTACTTCAGGCCAGAAGTTTGAAACCAGCCTGGGCAATATAGTGAGATCCTTATGTCTAAGAGAACAAAAAACATTAGCTGGTTGTGATGGCACACACCTGTGGTCCCAACTACTCAGGAGACTGAGGTAGGAGGACACTTGAGCCCCAGAGGTTGAAACTGCAGTGAGCCATGATCACGCCACTGCACTTCAGCCTGCGCCAACAGAGCAAGACCCTGTTTCAAAATAAGCAACAAAAACAAATCTTAAGCAAGCTATAAGTCAGACAGAGAAGCTCATTTAATCAATCTTGGTGGTGTATTTTAGTTAAAATGAAAAGCATTCTATATTTGTAGCAAAACCTGCCTTCATTTAAATAAATGAAGGTGTCTGTGTAAATAGTTCTCAACATCTTCCATATTCTGTTGAGTCAAATTATAAAATGGAGTCAGGTTAGAAGAGGAGAGGGAATAAAAGAGGTGCGTAGTGTGGGGTGGTCTGTTCTAGCTCTCCTACAAAAATAAGTGATGCCACAGGAAAGGGTATTTGGAAATGAAAGAGAAGGCAGGGAAGGATGTAAGGAGTGGCAAAAACAAAGCCATCCAAAATAGAAGAAAACCTTTCAGTCCTCTCAAAGAGATTTCACACGCGCTTCTGCTCGACTCCACTATGTGCTGTTCCCATTTCAGCAATTAAAATGATCCCCTAGTCTCTGGTGACATCCACTCCTGGGAATGGGGCCCGGCACCCTGTCAACTCATATAAGGAAGATATTATGGAATTGAGGCAAATCGCTCAGAAAGTAGTTCATGCTTTCATTCTCATGGAGCTTAGATAGAGGGGCTCAAGAAGCTTAGTTATTCGACCTGTGCAAAGAAACAGGATCCAGATACTTTGGAGATTAATTAAAAGGGCCCACCCTGCGGTTCACAAAGAAAGACCAAATCTTGCCAGGGCCTGGAAACTCATTAAGTGCCTGTCCAGGACATGGCATGGTGCTGAGGAAGGCCTCAGCATAGAGGCAACGTGAGGAGGGGTTATAGACCTCTCAGTGCGCTTAGCTATTGTACCACAAAGGATGCTATGAACTTGTCTCCTTAAAGAAAGACACTGAAGATGAGGAACAGCCCCCGCACTGGCCTCCAGGACCTCTTGACTACCTCCTCGCACAAAGCATTCTTCTGTCAAAACCAGGAAGAAAATGTAGAGGAGGCCAGTATTTCTAGCCAGGACAGGCTCTGAGCTAACTAACTCACATGCCAATGGATATCCGTTTCTCTGCCCATGAATTGTCCCCCAGGCACAGAGTAGAACATACGCCAAATATGCTATATTTTTATCTGCCCCACCTTCTGCATACTGTGTTGCCAAACACTGAACTATTACTTCGTGCTTAGTCCATCATGCAGACAATGCTGAAGAGTCCCACTATTGCTTATTCACGTGGTTTTATCAAATTCAAACATTTAGAAGCAGCACTTAGGAGAAAGCCATGGCATCGGATCAGTATGTTTGAGTACCACCAAGGAAAGAACAGAAAGGGTTCTGACGGCATTCTCTACGACCTTGGAGAAACCCTCCCAAGGTATTTTTCTTTGTAAAGAGAGCAAATGGGTATATATTTTTTCAAATTTAGATATAACTTACATACAGTAAAAAGCACTCATTTTCTTAAGTGTGTAGCTTGATTAAATTTGACATAAGTCTACCCTGTGTAACAACCACTCAGATCAATAAATAGAATGTTTATTTATTTATTTTTTTGTCTCGCTCTGTCACTCAGGCTGGAGTGCAGTGTTGTGATCATAGCTCACTGCAACCTTGAACTCCTGGCCTCAAGTGATCCTCTCATGACTTGGCCTCCTAAAGTGCTGGGATTATGGATGTGAGCCATCATGCCTGGCTAATATATAGAATATTTCTCTCACCTCATGAGATTCCCTCATGCCCCCAGCCAGTCAATAACCCCTCAAAAGTAACCATTAACCTGACGTCTACATTTATAGATTTGTTTTTGTCAATTCTTGAATGCCATGTGGATGGAATCCTGCCATACGTTCTTATAGCATATACTCTTTTGTTTTTCTCTTCTGTCACTCCAAACTATATCTACGAGTCTCACCAATGTTAAATATAGGTGTTCATTTTTTTTGTTGATATGTAGTATTCTATTATGAATATTCTAGAGTTTATTCATTCTACTACGGTTGAACTGTTGGGTTGCCTACAATTTTTAGTTATTAAAAATAAAGTTTCTGTAAATATGTATATATGTGCTCATTTTTCTTGGGTATATACCCAGGAGTGAAACTGCTGGATCAGAGGGTAGGTTTGTATTTAACCAAACAGTTTTTTAAATTTGTACATTCTACAGAAGCAATGTCTGAGAGTTCCAGCTTCTCCACATTCTTACTCTCACTTAGAATTGTCAGTCCTTTTAATTTTTGCCATTCTGCTGAATGTGAATGATATTCAGCATAGTTTTAATGTGCTTTCCCCTGAAGTCTACTGTTGAGTATGGGTATAGCTGTATAAATACAGTGATCACTTTGGAATCATTTCCCAATGAGAGTAGGAATAATTTAAAAGGAGCATTGGAAGAAAATGACTGTGAAATCAAATACTGTACTTTCATTGATGCTTATTCCCCTCTGCTTTTTCTTTTCTACATTGCCACCTTTCTGTTTCATTCAATAAATACTTGTGAATGTTGACTCCTTTCAGTGGACAAACCAAGACTTTCTCCCTTCCCCTGTCCCTTCTCTAGTTCTCCTTAGAGTGGAAACCAATAAATAGCAATAAAGGCACTGGAATGTAGTGGATAGCTTTGGGGAATTCCACCTTACCGGACTTTCCTTCTCTGAGAACTAGTCCACTTACACAGATGTGGGTCCCTAAAGTAATGTTTGTATCATGTGACATCACCTCTTCCATTGATTGGATAAGAGGGGGCGCCTGATCTAGAGGACGGTACCTTCACTTGTTGGCATTTGTTGGCGTGAGCCCAAAAGCTTTTCTATCCTGAGCAGTTGGGGTTTGGGTATTGAGATGCTAGTCAGTTTACCAGGGACCCCGGAACTGAGAGGGTGTGGAGAGGAGTCCAACGCACAGAGAAGAAGAGAAAGCTAGTCTACAGACAGAGAGACCAATAAAGAGGAGATGTGCAGACCGGGCGCAGTGGCACACGTCTGTAATCCCAGAACTTTGGGAGGCTGAGGTGGGAAGATCACTTCGGCCCAGGAGTTCGAGACCAGCCTGAGCAACATGGCAAGACCCTGTCTCTACAAAAAAATAAAAAATAAAAAATTAGCAGGGTGTGGTGGCATGCCCCTGTTAAGCAAGATGCTGGAGAGAGAGAGAGAGAGACAGAGAGAGAGAGAGAGGGAGAGAGAGGTTCAGAGACAAGACAGAGTGAAGCTAAGAGAAACTAACTCCCACCGTGCTTAATTTCTGGTTCCATCCCTGTGGATGCTCAGCAGCCTTCCTGCCTTGGGTTCTGTGAGATGTCTTAATAGTGATTCGAGTGAATTTCCCATTTTTGGTGAAGTTAGTTCAAGTACATTTTTGTTAGTTGCCCACAAAAGTCATGAGTAAAATAATCCTTGTCCAACTCCCTCTTGGCTGTGGATGAGAGAAGACTAAACTCCATGTGGCCCGTATCTGCTCCGTCCAAGCCTCCCTCCTTCCAGGCTAACCCTGAAAATGCTAAGATTTTCTATACTAAACCCAACAAATAATGCAAATAGAATCAAAACCAGAAAGTGCTAAAAATATGAGACCATGGGATCTTCTGCAAAATTTTAGCCTCAGCTGCCTTCTTCCTCTTCCTACTTTCTTCTTTGATCATGGCCACTTTTATCTTCTTTCTCCCTTACCACTTCTCTTCTTTTGTTCCTTTGCTTCAGCCTCTTGCCTTTTAAAAACATACTGTTTGCAGAGAACAAGGATGGTCATAAAACAAAAGCATAATGGTGTGAGGATGATGTTCTCCAAACCCTGGGTGCTGTGTTTTTGTTTCCGTATGTGTCCCTATGAGACTTTTGGGCACAAAAAAAAACCTATTGACTAAACAAAAACAGTGCCTGGGATGAGGGTTCATAAACTGCAAAGATCAAGAAGCAAACCAGGTCCCGTGTGAATGCAGCCCAGTTTTCAGAGCTGTGTGAGTTTCAGCTTGATAGAGATTTCACAGACTTGCAAATACAGAAAGACAGAAGGAGCAAATGTCTTTGCTTTAAAAAAAAAAAAGAAAGAATTTGGTAATTAAAATGAAAGCAAACAGAGTAATAACTTTAAATGTTAAGAAAAGTACCCTTTCAAATGATTTAACTGGTTTTATAATCTAGCTGTGACCCAGATGTTTACTTAGAAGACATTACAGCTCTGTATTATATGAAGTAATTAATATTCACTGCAACTGCCCCCTCAATGTTATAAAATATGAAAATAGTAGTTATGAAGTTGCTCTGAGAAACAGCCTAAAAGATGAATGAAGAGGCAGCTTCCCAAAAGGTTTGTGATGTGCTCAAAGGCAGACGAAAAAAAAGCAAGATGAAAATAGAGATGACAAACATAAACAATATGGTCTGTTTTCTCATATGTATCATCTTTTAAATTCATTTTTAATTGCCATATGTACACGTTGTTTTGTGTTTAGAACATTCTTTTCTGCAAGGTGTTAAAGGAGGAGACAGAAAAAAATACTTAATGGGTGTAGCCTCACAGCCTGAGGAAGGCCTTGGGAAGCTCTAGCATCCCTGAGAGGAAGCCTTTAAAGGGTTGGACCCAGAAAGCACCTACTAAAGTGTATCGTCTTTGTTTTCCATGACACTCAATTACATTGCAACCCAATCCTGTGGTTTCTGCGAGGAAATTCCATCCCACCTTCCTAAGCATTATTTTCTTTTTAAATGACAGAAGTGAAACAAGAAAACTGCTTTTCTCATATACTCCTTTAATCCTTAACCTACTTAGCCTCGTGTCCTTCTAGTGGCAAAAAGAATTAATCACATTGTAGTGGGGGA